AGTGTTTCAAGCCTGCGCATTTGAGCAAGAAAAGAAAGCAGACCCCTGGGGCGAAAGGAAGAAAGAAACAAGAACCAGAAAGCTGCTCGACCCAGGCGACACGAAACCACGTGTCGTGCGAAGGCGGCCGCAGCGAGTTCTCCTAGCGAGTGCCCCACATTCTTCTTTCAGAAAAGGCCCGCACAAACACCACTTGAGAAAGCGCCCGCGCGCACCAAACAAAGCGCGGCGACGTTTAATTCGCGAAAAGAAAGAAAGAACGGCATAACGAATCGCGACAGAGTGCCAGGTGCGGGGTCAGCCGGCTGCGACAGAGACCCGCGCCTCGCCCTCGAGGAAAGCCCGAGGCTTACAAGAGCGACACGTTCACCTTGCACGCGGGAAAAATCGTTCGCGACCTTGATTCCCGGAGGCGCTAATTTCGTGCATATATACTTTCCACGCGATAATGAAGGTGCGCTCCAATTATCTCTGTAGTAAAAATATTTAATCGGTTTTACGTTCCAAAACCACGATGTAATTTTGCGGCACGCCGTATATAGTGAGGGTCTCCACGTAGGAGTGTACCGATCAATTTGTACTGCGCGATTGAAAACAAGACGGGGATGTAAATTGTATAGCGTAACTGATTGACGGGATACAAGCAGAATACATGTGCACACACAACAAAGCCCTTTTGTGTGTGTGTTCTGATTGTGTCCCAACAAAACGCTTTGTTGTGTGTGTATTGTTGTGTGTGTATTCTGCTTGTGTCCCGTTAATTAGTTGCTCTACACAATCTACAGTGACGATTTACCAACGCGCCCATATCTTCAAATTTAGCAACAGACGGGGACAAGCGCATACTATCAACTTACAGCTCATTTTTCGCATGTCACATATATACATGACTGAAACAGAAAAAAGAAAAGTGTTCTGCTAACAAACACCAAAAAGCAATAAAAGAACAAATATTTTGTACACTCAATGCACGAGGCAGAAGAGTGCACTCATCTGTCATGCCCACCATTTCCAAAGAACTGTAGCGAGAGCAACCGATAGTTTGCTGACGCAGTTGTCAGCGTCCTGCGCCATTTTCTCGCCTTCGATTACTCTAAGGGCACGATCGTTTTTGTGCCTATATGCATCGCAACTGTGCTTCCGAACTGCGCATGACAAGCACACCTGCTTACATGTCGTGCCACGAAATCCTCACTGCCACTGCGTGCATTACGTGCGCAACTATGATTGTTAAAACTTGTAACGCCTGAGCTTCTTCAACGATCCCCTGAAGCTAAGCACACAGGTGTTGTTTGCCTTTCACCTGCACCGAAATGCGACCGACTAGCTTTGGAAATCGAACCCGCGCCCTCGAGATTTTTTGCAGCGCGACGCCTTCCTGAGTAAGCTACGACGGCGCAAATACAACACAGACGAATGGCACATCGTACAATCATTCTCAAGCGCTTCAGCAACATGTCAAGTGTGTTGAGGAAGGGGCTGTTTAAAATAAAAGAAATTAATTGAATGCCAGGGTTCGCGCACCCCAAAACTACGATCCTATAAAAAACTTGTCGCAGTGTGAGGCTCCGGAATAAGTGAAATAAGTGTCTTTCGAATTTACCCTTCATGTTTGATTTCCGCAATACCATGGTTTTCTCACTAACTGGACTTGAACTGTTGTTGAAGACATCACCATAATCACCACATATTGCGAGGCTTTAGTGGTGTCTAATATAGTATGAGCTAGTGGTGCCTCTCAAACAACGGCTTTCCTAATAAAGTTGTTTACTATATATTTGTCTGCGAATACGGCACTAGCCAGTGGCAATGAAGCGTCACAAAGGAAGAGTTTTGCGAGTACCATTTGCTCGAGTTTCCTTTCTGTCTGACACCGCAGAATAAAGTAGGATTGCTGATTCGATTAAATAAGCCAATCTATACAGCGGGAAGAATTTAAGCATCAGGATTCATTGTCACGCTTCAGTGGCAAAATCAGCAAAGACAAGTCATTGCAGCATGACGGTGATATTATTTATAGTTTCACACATTGTATGTTTTTTAGACGACTCTTTATGTATGCTTCTCAGTGGTTAAGACGCGATGGTCGCTAGCTATATTCCAAAATCACGTAGTTCATGGTGCATACATGCTGATTGATTGATAGGTTGATTGATTGATTGATATGTGGGGTTTAACGTCCCAAAACCACCATATGATTATGAGAGACGCCGTAGTGGAGGGCTCCGGAAATTTCGACCACCTGGGGTTCTTTAACGTGCACCCAAATCTGAGCACACGGGCCTACAACATTTCCGCCTCCATCGGAAATGCAGCCGCCGCAGCCGGGATTCGAACCCGCGACCTGCGGGTCAGCAGCCGAGTACCTTAGCCACTAGACCACCGCGGCGGGGCGATTGATTGATAGGTGGGGTTTAACGTCCCAAAACCACCATATGATTATGAGACGCCATGGTGGAGGGCTCCGGAAATTTCGACCACCTGGGGTTCTTTAAAGTGCACCCAAATCTGAGCACACGGGCCTACAGCATTTTCGCCTCCATCGAAAATGCAGCCGCCGCCGGAATTCGATCCCGCGAACTGCGAGTCCGCAGCCGAGTACTTTAGCCACTAGACAACCGCGGCGGGGCATAGTGCATACATGCTATTGCATAAATGCACTATGGACAACGTCATGAATTTTAATCACATATTGAAGATGACGAAACATCATAGAAACTTGAAAGTGCTGATCACTGTCAATACCAGCCAATTACAGAATATTGGTCAATGAAGGGACCTCTTTTCCTACAGGCATGTTTTTCGTAGCACTATAGCCAAATAATGGACGCTTCGGTATGGAGTTCATAGTGCAAGCGTTAACGAGTTTTCGATGGTATCTATAAAAAATATGCAATCATATTCATGTCCTAACTATGGAACGATCCGCAAAGGCTCTCGACAATCAGCAGGCATTTTATTCGTCTGCAGAAATGCCGCAGTAGAGGAAACCTGCATCTGAAGCAACACAAACGATTTCCTTCATGGAATTCAGTCGATGGCCTGAATATATCCCATATCACGTGATCATTAGAACCTCCTAAGGAGAGCCCTCTCTACTTCACAGTTACTGCAGTATTCAACGCATAATATTACATTCACACATCATCATTGCACAGAGCCCGTATTGTCGGCAGTTTCAGAATAATGATCGGCGCAATCTGTGTAGATGTCGCTCCAATGTTGTGCATGCTGATAATCGAGTAAACTATTTGAAACGAATGCAACAAGGCATCTTTCGCATTCGATGCAAGTTCGCGCCAGTGACAGGCCCCCATTTCCCGGAACCAGAGCCAAGCAAAGATTTGCAAAGGAAGCAGGCTTATACACTGTCGCGTATACCACGATATACACAACGGAGGCACGTAAACACCGTGTTTCCCCGGAAAGAATGTGCGCCGACATATTGACAGCTACACGAAAGATTTCTTCCACGCACTGCTTTGAAAGCCCTCAGAGAAATTGTAATAGAGTTTACTGCGCGCACTTAAACAGCGTCAAAATAAAAGTTTACGGCGTGTTGAACTTAGCGCAAACTTTAAAATGAAAAGGAAACATGCTTGATGAAAGATGTGCCCCAGAGCGGGGGCTTTGAAAAAAGAGTAACGAAGCAAACAAACAAAAAAGGAGAGGGGAAAAACGCTGACTGCAATGATCGTACTTTGTAACAGTTCTACGTTTGTCTTTCTTCTTGCCCTTCATATTCGGCGTGCAAGAAGCCCGCACATTCGCTATGAAACAATTCGGCTACAAGATGGGACGCCACGATAACTTACAAGTACAAAAATCCTTACAAACGTGACCGTACACAGACAAGCAAACTAACTAAAATGCGACGAACTTCCTTCGGGGAAAAAGAATGCTATTTTTCAGAGCTCGCATTTTCCCGCAGAAAGCATGAGGCAGCCAGATTAAAACAATTTCAGGGTCGACGCACGTCACATTTATCTCCGTTTCGGAAAAGGATGGAGGCAGAGAAAACATCACACCGACGGACAATATGACATGTAGCCTGCAGTGAAACTTTAAGCAGAGGCTTTTTAGTGTTTCGAAACCACTTCTGTGTTTCGGGCAAAGTATTTAAGGCAATGTCTCACGTTAGTTCACCCACGTGCGCAGATGAAACAAATACTTGTTCCTGCGAACCGCGACAGTTTTCGATTACAAATTGCCTAAGCAAGTCGGTGCCCGAGAATCAAATGCAAAAAAAAAAAAAAGAGGAAGATAGGCGTTACAAGACAAATGCGACTGCACTAAGTAATGCTTCATACCTGCATCAGTGAAGGAAGGGTGCTTTCAAACAGCACCTTCGTGAAGCGGGTGGAACGAACAGGAGCTCTTAAAGGGTTCGAATAAAACAGCAGAGAGGGGCCCTTAGATTGTACCAAAGCGTTACAAAAGCGTACATTCTATCTAAGACAGTATCGTCTGCTGACAATCGCCATGCACGTCGTAGCCACGTACATACAGTCTGCGAACTTTCCAAGAACTGCACAAGGGCCACGTTTTATGGGGTACCCACCAACTGAATGCTCGTGCCACTTCATCAGCGATCGTAATTAACGCGCTGCCATGCTGTGCGTGCGGGGTCAGCGTCGCATTATTAAACGAGCCGAGGACCGGACAGTGCACGGCCACCTCAAACGGTAAGCATTTATTACGAAGACGATCCCGTTGCAAGTAAGCACTGACCAGCTGTTTCTAAATACACAGTCAGCTTAATTTGCCTTATGACACATAATACGCATCATTGTACGCTAAGCCGTACCTTAGCGTAAACAATTAGCGTAAACAGTGTTTACATATGAAAAGCAGGGACTGGCAATATGCGAGACGGATTTCTCGAGCAAGTTCAACTAAGTGCGTTATCGCCTCCTGTGCAGCCATGTTTTCCAGTGAACATCACTGCATAAGAAGCCAGCAGGTCATTAACACGAACATCCCAAGCAGTAAGGTCATACCTGAAGATTAATCACTGTTGTCTGCGACGGTGTTGCCTCGTTGGCGTCTTAGCAGAGCGCGGTATCCAAAGCCGGTACCAGAGGAATCATGATCAATCACTTCCGAGAGCCACGAAGATCCCTTCACAGTTTCACCAAGCACGTGAAAGCGACCCGTGCGCGAGAAGAGACGACCGCATAGTAAGTCGACAACCGAACAGGCTTGGCGGCATGCACGACCGCGAGGGCAGGTGGCAGCGTCGAAAGCCCGGTGTTCGGACGATGACGCGCAAACCGCGACAGCGGCAATAGTCACGAGCCCGTCCGAAGAGAAGAAGCGCGGGACACGCGGCAATTCTTCAAAGAACGACAGCAGCTGACGACGGCCACGACGACTCCGTTTATCGGCAAAACATCTCGAAAAGCCGCAGACCATGAGCCGGCAGCGCCGGCGGCATAAGGACGCACGCACGCACACTACTACGGGACGTACTCGGCCGCCTTCCTTCCAGAGAGCTGCCTGTCGGGGAAACCAGTCGGCGGTCGGAGATTGCGGAAGAAAAACAAGACAGCAACGTCGGAGGCAAGCGGATGTTCCTGCAGCAAGAGCTGCCTCGCCGACGAAAGGGAACAAGCAGCAACACCGGAGGAGACTCTTCTTCGGCAGTTTCGGCAGCAGCCGGCGAGCGAGAGAGTTGCGGCTTCACCAGGCCGAGGGAAGAGGTCGTGCAGGGGCTCCGTCCACGCGTGCACTGCAACAGCGGCAGTCGCGTGGCGCGCAAGAGTAGTGTCCGTGAGGCCGTCGGCACAAGGACCTGCCCCGCCGTCGTGAGTCGGCGCGAGAGGTGGCCTTCTCGCTCCGCCGCCACTCTTTCCTCCGGCAGCGGTTTTCAGTTTCGCCTGTCTTTTCACCGGCAGCTCGAGAAATGCGGCGAGGATTACGGACTTCGTAGTGAGAGAAGAAAAGGAACGAGACCACGCATGAACGCGCGCAAGTAAGCGGCAACGGCGGTAGCGAGGTGACGCGAGCACCAAATATTGGTGACAAACAAACAGTTCAAGTACCAGTCTTCAAGCAAAGATAAACTAGATTGAGTATTTTGCCCGTTAGGCTTGTCTGTAGTTATTCAGGTCTCTAGAAAGTCTGTACTCGCCCTCAGTTCGCCGCAGTGGTGTAGCGGTTACGGCGTATACGGCTGCTGACCCGAAGGTTGCAGGTTCGATTCCAGCCTCGGTTCGGTGGTCGCATTTCAATTGTGGCGAAACGCTAGATGCCCCATATACTCTGCGATGTCAATGCACGTTACAGAGGGCCAGCTCGTCGAAATTTCCTGAGCCCTCCACTAAGGCGCGCCCCGCAGTTATATCGTGGTTTTGGCCCGTGAAATCCAAGGTATTAAAATACACTAGCTTTCAGACTTTGTTGCTCAAAGTGTGGTCTTCGACATCGGTCAAGAAAGCCCCGCGAACTTACTATTTCGGTACATTTAAAAATAAACCTTCGCTAGAACAAATAACTTCGCTAGAACAACTGCGAGCTTGGAGAAATAATAAAAAAAAACTGCATTCAAAAGCTGTCTTCCCGCCTACTACGTGAAGCGGGCCTGCGCACAATAAAAAGGCTATAATAATCTCCTGCTATCACGTCTTAGGCGCTGAGCTCGGCTGTTACGGCGCTGACATATGAATGAATGAAATGAGCGAGCACCGTCTCCGAAGCTGCCGAGGTCTCACTTCTACCCTTCGGCGTGCACGGACAACGGCCACCCAGAATGACCTGCTGGCAAAATCTCAGCTGAGCACCAATTCCAAACACAAAAGGATGGCATTTTGAGACCACCCGTCGAGTGCGGCATAATTTTGGTCCTGCCAATCATCACTCCCGGCGGCTGAGGCCTGGTTGTGAGAACAGGGTGACGCCCGTGCATAATTCCAGAAAGGGAATGGCAAAGGCTGTCTCGCGAAGCTATATATACGACCTCATAGACTACGTTCGCACTACTGCCACCCGTGCGGTGAAAATTGTAATCTCCCATGGTATTGGCAAACTAAGAAAGAGAAAAAAATAATAGCAGACGGTTTCACACACACAAAAAAAATAGCCTTGCGAGCAAGACAACTCGCGTCAGACGCACCCTTGACGCTTGATGGTGAGGAATGCAAACAAACCTCTATTTAGATTTTTCTCTCTTCTTCTTCTTCTTTTGCATGAAGAATAGCGGAATGAGCCACTTCCGCATGCAAGGCCACCGTTGTGTATACGACATACTAGACGATGCAATTACGTTCTGCACGAGAAAAACCACATCACGAAGAACGTGGAGATGGAAAGCTGCCAGAGTGTTATACGTTCTTCGTGAACGTATAATTGCCTATACGCCTATATAGGCGTATAGGCAATTCCTCGGTAATGCCACTTAAATCTGGCCAGCCTGTACGCCGATGAGAGCGGAAAGCGCTACGACCAAGAACAATCGCACGTTATCGCAGGAGAACGTAAATTTATATTGAAAACATGGTAGATATGACGGGGAACCTGTTGGCTTGCTTCTCCGAAACAGCGAACGCAAGCATATCAGTTCTGGACTGCACGCCCAGCGCTTATCACACACTACCCCGGTGTTACGTAAGATATGCAAGCTGGTAATTTGGAATACTGAAGCAAAGCAAAAAATTGGCGCCGTATCTGCATGTTACACTGAATGTCGTCGAAATACGATAGTCTTGCGTTTGGAGAGAGTGAAAAAAGCGTTTATTTGAAAAAAAAATAGGTGAATGGTATTCTAGAGGCACTGCGTTAGAGTGAGTCGAGCGTGCTGCGGAGGCGAACGAGCGCATCAAGTCACGTCAGACGTGAGACATGAGCGCTATCTGGCCCTTTTCTTGAAAAACGAAGCGCGCGGCGTGCGCGCCCGTTTCGGAGGCGATAAGGTGTAAAACGCAAGGTGACGGGTAGGTGCCACCACCATGTCGCCTTAGCAAAGCGTTGGGAACATTTGCCTTTTCGTGCAAGCATTGCATCGTCGGCGCAGCGTGATAAGCGCTACGGTCCTTAGAATGACTCGTGTATGGCTGTTCTAGTAAAAAGACACACATAATATTGACGTGTTGTTATAGTGCCTCAGATATGCGCAATAATTCCTTTTTAATTGACAATCGCACGAGTATGAACGCTAAATCTTGAGTAATAATGGTGGGCGCTGCTAATGGAGTCGGCCGTTTAGAGTATCGTTTGGTGCCGTTTAGAATATCGTTAAAGTTGGACATACAGACAAATGTACCAACAGACAAAAAATTTTGCGTCTAAGGTCTCCAAGAAAGACTATCGTCTTTAAAAGTGATCAGCTTCACAATCTTTTTAGATGCGAAGCAGCTCTTTGACTAGCATGTGTAATGCCGTCTCTGCGTGCATCCGTACGAACGCGCCGCAACGCGCTCCCCTTGTCGCAGGTGTTGGAGCAGTTCTAAGCGGGTCACAACGCAGCTGCGAGTTGACGTCACGCTCCTCTCGCAGTGCACACTTACGTCACTCTCTCCCTCGCCTTCCGCGTGCTCGCTGCAGCTGCCACCTCGTTCGTTCTCCCGCAACACCTGTCGCTACCACCACTCGCTACAACACCGACTCATCGGTTCACACGCAATAAACCTGACGCACCTGCCATCACAAGACCTACGCCAGCCATCACTTCAAATGAATCTTTCAGCACTCACCGCAGAACACGCGTTAGCGCAGTTCAACCCATGCGCAACGCTACTGCTTCGCATCCCATCACGATTACCTTTAGGAATATGGTGTGAGTTTTTACGTCCGAAAGTGTTCGAATAGCACCCTGATAGACCCAAACATTCCCACTGATTCACGACTGTAAGCGTAGCAGGGTCGACATTTACAGGTTATTCTGATGCACTAGCTGGGAAAAAATAGCTGGCCGGTCCAATTCATAAAAAAAAAACGCCGCCATCTAGCGCCTTTAGTCACAACCGTGGAACAGCGCACGTGCCCTGAAAACGTCCTCGGAGAAATAAATGGGAAATAAAAAGTGGATCCAGCATTTGTGATAACAAACGCATAGCTCAACTTGCTCGTCAAGCAGGGATACCTAATATCCAAAGGAACACAAGTAAATAAAAACTAGAGCTCCCTGCCAGTCCGTCAATCAATTGAACCACATGTACAAACTTTAGCGGTGGTCATCTGCTGCATGCTTCACGCCGATGTTCCGGTGTTGAAGAAAAGTGGAGACGAGCCGTGCAGCGAAACGCTCCTTGCGACCGCGTGTGTACAGCAGGTGACTATTCGATAACATCTTCAAATTTGTTGCTTTTTAAGCAAAATGTAAAAACGGGACTATCAGAATCATTTCATTGCAACAGCAATTATATTGACCTTCGGGAGGGGGGCATACTTTCACCCGTCTCTGCGACGCCGTCATACCTGGCATGATCTCCAAGTCAATAACGTCGTCCCACCCGTCGTACATATTATGCATGAGCGAAAGCTTGCGAAGGCTCCAGACGGGAGTGGCTCAAGCAGGGATGAAACCAGTCAGCCGGCTTCTTGGGCGAAAGAACTTGAAGGAGTACGTGAAAAGGGCTGCGTCACTCGAGCAGAAAGAGAACTTTGAGAACTTTGATCAAACGCGCCCGGTCGCGTGAGCTATATTGATTGAGGTCGGTCAGTCCACTCATCCACTTGTATCGTACGCGATGTGCCACAACTTACGTCCATGTGAAGCGACTGACAGCACGAAAACAGTATCGCTCTCTGGAGCGGCCGTATGAGTCGCCAGAACACTGGCGGAGTGGCAGTTGCGCTGATGTGACGTCACGTCAAAGATTCGCTCGCTTCGCGTCAAGTATCACCTTTTTCAGCACCAGGCGTGGGCCCGCCCTTTTGCGATATGGTGGTCATTACTACTGACTCTTGCGATGCAAATCAACCAAATCAGAAGGCAGACGTTTGCCCCGCCGCGGTGGTCTAGTGGCTAAGGTACTCGGCTGCTGACCCGCAGGTCGCGGGTTCGATTCCCGGCTGCGGCGGCAGCATTTCCGATGGAGGCGGAAATGTTGTAGGCCCGTGTACTCAGATTTGGGTGCACGTTAAAAAACCCCAGGTGGTCAAAATTTCCGGAGCCCTCCACTACGGCGTCTCTCATAATCAAATGGTGGTTTTGGGACGTTAAACCCCACAAATCAATCAATCAAGGCAGACGTTTCATCTACAAGCGAAAGTGAAGTAAGCTAAAGAAAGTTTCCATAATATCGCTGAATAACCCCAGGTAGTCGAAATTTCCAGAGCCCTCCACTACGGCGTCTCTCATAATCATATGGTGGTTTTGGGACGTTAAACCCCACATATCAATCAATCATCGCTTATAATGGGCAAACTCTCCTTCGAACGGAAGAGTCAATGTGAAAAAGGTGATACAGGACAGCAATCTTGCATTCGTAGTTCTCAGCACTTTGATAAATCGGTGCTAAAAAACACGTGCGCTAATGGTTCTAACTTCATTACAATTTGGCGCACACTCAGTGGCCAGAACATGTACCCTGAAGAATTACAAATAAAATTAGAACATTTTTGATTCACTAATCACATTATGATTTTTATGGAGATCATCTGAGTGATTTGACAATGTTGCACTTTATACAACAAAATATATTAGGTGAACCTACCATAAACATTCGCTTAATATATCGAAAATATCGAACAAAAAATACGGTTACACATAATATGTTTAATGAAATGCTGAGATGTCAATATACTTGGTGTCGCACACTTCGTGTG